GCACCCAGACTAGTGTTTGACTGAGTGACTAGGAGAAGGTGTGTGCACTGGAGGACAGGACAGTTAGGGGCTGCTTTAGAATTTGATTTGTTACAGCATAAGTAAACGGTCAGGGGTAAGTCTGACTTTTGGCGTGGCTGATCTCAGGGACCTCGCTGTTGTCAGGACTTTTCTGCCTTTCAGCGCTGCTGCCTTCTAAAGAGCTGCGTTCTCACGTGGGCTTCCCTCACAAACAGCTCTTTGAAGGCCATGCTTCATGGTCTCCCTAGGAGAGGGGGCCTGTTTCCTCTTAGTTCCAGCCAGGCTGAGAGAGGCTTTGGTTGGCGTGGCTCTGGGTACATGCCTATCCCTAAAACCAGTCATCATGGCATGAGGGGTGTGTATCCTGATTCTCCATACTTAGGTCCAAATGCCCTTCTTCAGAGCCAAGGCATGAGGTCACCCCAGCCCGAATAACTAAGAGAGTGGAGGAGAGGTCATTTCCAAAGATACTGTCTAGGCAAAATGCTAGTATATGAAATAAAAGGAAAAGAGAATTGAAGGAACTACTCTATCAAATATTATAAAAGAAGTCAGTTAGGAAAGGGCCACTGTATTTAGAAGGCAGGGAGCCATTCTGAAAGAAAGAGAAGGAAGTTTACTTAAAAAAAAAGTGGCAGAAGTCAAACTCGAAGTTCATGATGCACCTGGTCAAATACCAGCATTGGACTCATACCACACATTAACATGTCTGCTGGTGAGCAGGAGGAAGTGGCAGCCATTTGGGAATGTACAAGGGAATGGGGAAGGCCTCTCAGGAATGGCAGTGATTGATACATTTGTAAGAAGTTTCTAGTAAACGAAAGAGGTTGAAAGAGTGACAGAAGTCCACATTGATCCCAATAGGAACTGAAGCCAGTAAGCGGAGAACAGACAGAGACCCAAGACCGAGAGCCACCAGAAGTTTTCCTGTATTATAAAGTGTGTGAACTGTCTTGTTTTGTTTTGGTGACCTGGCACATCTTTGGAATAGACAGGTATCAGTCCTTCCAATGTAGCCATCTTATGTGATATGCCCAGCCTCTGTCTGGCTGTCTGATTGACAGAAGGACTTGGCGTCAGAGCAGTGGTTCTGAACTGGTGTCCCTGGACCAGGAGCAGCAGCATCACCTGGGAACTGGACAGAAGCACAAGCCCCCTGGTCCCACCCCACACCTACTGAATCAGAAATTCTGGGAATGGGACCCAGTTCTGTGACTGAACAAGACCTCCAAGGTGAACAACACCTGAAGAAGGTGTTTCTGATGGCGGTTCCAGTTTGAGAGGCATTACATCCCATCTTTCCCATTTTCCCTCAGCACACCACAAGGGTTCCCTTAATAGTGGCTTTTGAAAAGCCATAAGGATCAAGGATATAGGTTCCTGGTGACCTGGGGTGGGGTAGGGGGTTGTAAATCTTGAAAGGGGATGGCAGCTGTTCAGAAGCCACTCATGACTGAAAATATAATGGACTGGAAGTACAGAAGAGCGAAAGCTAAGTGGTAACTGAAATGTTCTCCAGTTCACGGAGGGCTTTCATTTGGATGGTAGGCATTATAGGCACTCCAAGTCCCTGGGGGACTGAGGACAATGAGGAGGGCTGAAATTACAGCCAGAGAGCAGTAATTCTTTTGGAGTACAGGTTAAGTCATAGAACAGGTTTTGGACATGCATCATTTAATTTAAATTCAGGCTTTTCTGATAGACACTCTTCGGAGGCTGCAGAAGGGCATGGCAAGGTTTCTTTCATCAAGGAGCTTAAAAGCTTTCCAAGCCTTCAAGACTTAAATAAATCCAGGGAATATAAAAAGACAATATAACAGAGTGCTGAATTGAAAAGGACCTTGGGTTAAAATGCATGATGGAGGCTGTGAGTGCTGTGGGCAGTCAGGGGAAGGAGAAATTGGCACTGTGTCATTTTCTCCTCTGGACAGAGGACGAAACTGGCAGCCTGGTTGTATTTCCCAGGCCTGGTGGTGCGATATTGGACAACTTGGCTTCAAGAAGTCTCTTTTCTTGCCCTTTTTTTTCTGTTTTCTGGTTTGTCAGAACTAGTAAGTCAAAGTGAGGGTTTGTATTTTAAGACTGAACTTGGACTATTATTAATGTTTTTGGTTTTATGAGAAACTTGTAGGAGAAACTACATTTTATCCTGGGTGTCTTAAATGGCAAGAGACTCAGATGAAATTTTGGCTTATTCATTTCAACCAGATTTTCAGACTTACTCCATTCATGGGGAGAACATGAATGATGAGCTTGTCTGAGGAAGCCTCTGTTTCGTAGGATGAGGAAAGCAAATTACTGATTTTCCTTAGTAGAGGAATTAAATTGTACCAGATTTGGGATATAGGAAACAATAAAACACTTCAGATGAACACAACATTTATATTGCTTTTTATTTCTTTGCATTGTTTTACCTGTGTGAATAAGTACAGAAGTAAACAAACCAAAGAACCAAGACAGAAAGTTTTCAAGACACACTTTTAAAAATAATTTAATTTTTCAATTATAGTTCACATACAATATTATAGAATTAGGTAGGCGGGCATAAATGTCATTTCAGTTTGTAAGAGAAATAAAAAAAGATCTGATAGTCCAGAGGAAGCCAGCAGATTTGAAACCTAATGCAAAGTACTAAAAAAATGTTTTTTCTGACATTTACATGTGATGTGATCTGTTTTTAGCTCTTTTGGGAGGGTTTTCTTAACTCCAGCTGTAGCCTGCAGGTGTTACCAGAGAGCTTCTTTTTCTTGTGATGATCAGGTGACTTCAGATGCTTTAGGAAGCCAGAGTCAGCCTTTGCCGCTCATCAGGTTTAATACCTGTGCGGAGCGGGTTTCCTCCAGCAGCGACCACGAAGATTTTCTTGCTCTGGCGGTGCTGGCAGTCAGAAAGAAGAATCAGCTTTTATTTCGAGAGATTAAGAACAGTTCTGTTGCTTATTTCTTTTCTTTCAAATTGAAATTTAATTGCCGTATAACGTATTAGTTTCTGGTGTACAACAGTGATTTGATAACACCCATAGATTGCAAAGTGATCATAGCAGTAACTCTAGTTAATAACATGAGTCTGTTGCTCGTTTCTTGATGTTGACTATGGAGAACCATTGAAATGTCCAGGAGGAAAACAGAGATGAAATAGAGTTCATTGTGTGCCCCTGGGTCACATCCCACGAGGCAGAGCTGCTTCCTCCCCCTGGAAACTCGATGCCTGGCTGCTTTCTGCTCATCTTTACTTCTCTACTTAGGTGTTACTTTAGTGAGAAAAACCTTCTGAGCCCTTCCTCCTAAATGGGTGTCCTGTTATGATTGCAAATCACAGTGCCTATTTTTCCTTTGTAATACCCATCCAGCGTTCACATTTTATACATATACTACAGAGGGTATACTATGATTCTTTAATGTCCCTCCTGAGGCAGCGAGCTCCATAAAGGCATGGCTCTTTCCCATTTTGTTTGCCACTGTAGACATAGAACCGGGTGGATATACTGAGCACCAAGGAAAAACTTGGCAAGTGATTGAATTAATTAATGAAAAAGCACTTTGTGAACTCTATTCACTCTAAAAGCCATGGTTAATCCTATCAGTAGCAGTTACCTCCTTTCTCTCTTTTGTCCTCATTTTTTTCTCTCTTATTTTTAATTCCTTATTTTGAGGTAGATTTGTCAGTGTTTTTACCAATTCCAAATTTAAGGTTCGACATTATTCGTTGTTGCCTTTTTTGAGATAAGGGACCACTTTTTCTCTCAAAAATACTACACCCACAATGTTAATGCTGTGATTCCCACCTTGGTTCAGCATGTGCTTATGACTTTGAGAGGCCCTTGGGGATGATTTATTTGGGAAGCAAACAGGATCCAGGGTAGCACTTAAACTCTGCTTTCTGTATCCCCCAAAGCCACTCGCATATGTTCCTATACTTCAAGTATACTCCTCAAGAATTCCCAGTCGTCGAAATAATATTGGCCCAGGAAAAGGTGTTTCTGGCTCTGTCTTCAAGGAGGGGAAAAATTAAAAATTCAAGTGTGGAAAATATTAACGATCAGAATATGAATAGGTCTTTTCTTTAAAAGCAACAAACAAAAATCATCCAGTCCTTCTCCAGCAGGTCCTTGGCGCGCCACTTGTATGTGTAAGTGTTATCCTTGGTGGGCGGCAATGGCAGGCAGCCAGGTGGAAAATTTCACAGTCCCGTGAACCTCCAGGGCACCGAACATGCCATCGGAGGGTGCCGTGGGCCTGCACCGAGCCATGATGCGCCTGCACAGGCCTCTCTCACCACCTTCCCCTCCTTCTTCCTCTTTCCTTCCTGCACCAGGCCCTGAATGTCTTTCTTCCTGAGGTTTCAGACGCCTTGTTTCCTGGCCCCTGTTTCTCTCAAGACCTCCCTGGAAGGAGAAACCTTAGCACGGTGGCCCTTGCAAACGTGTAGATGTTTGGGTGTCCCAGGGTCGGTGGATCATTGGTGGTTAGCCAAGGCTGGCTTTTATAGTCTGGCTCAGGAACAGGCTTATGACCACTAATAATAATACTTTGCATTTACATAGTGCCTTTCTTGTCAGAAACTGTGAATGTTTTGCAAGAGTGATCTTATTGATCCTCCCAACAACCCAGTGAGGTATGACAATGGGAAGAGGTCCCAGCTCCCTCCTTTTTGAAGAAAGTAAAACCAAGTGACTTACTTTGAGGCTGTGTCACAAGTTTGCATCTCAGCTGGGTTGCATATGAAATCTCCTAGAATTGGTGTCACCTTTATTGGGGGACAGGGAGGAATGGGGAGAAGGTATGGCATGCCATGCTACCGTGTCTCCTGGGGCAAGAGCAAAGCCATTGAATTTCTCTTTTACAAAATGGTTCTGGAAAATAGTCTTTGGTGAATGATCAATTGGTCTAATTGATTGTGAACTTCCTTTGTGTTGAGATAATGAGATATTTGATGATGCATTTACCTTTTTCTTTCTCTTCTGTTCTACTCCATGCTAGGTTTTTCTCACTTCTCTGTGAAAGGAGGAAAGAACACACCGCCCAAGCCCAGACACACTGCAGCTTCTCGTGGGAAGTGCCCATGGTGAAGGAAGGCTGGGGCACCCAGTGAACAGCGCACAGTGAATGTTGTAAGTTGGCGAGAGCGGCATCTGTGGCAACTTGCCTTGCGTGGAGTTGTGAATCACTGGACACTACTGAGCCCGGGCGGTGAAGGGATGGTCATGTTAGTGCTAGGTGATCGTTCAGTTAATTTCTTTTTTTTAGGAGAGAGGTTGTGTTTTTATTTGCTGTGAACTTGCCTTTCCCTCAGCTTCTGTGGGGCATTTCTCATTTTCTCCTTCTGGAATAAAAGAGTGGAACACAGGGATTCTTTCATTGTAGGAATGCCCTTCTTCCTGGTACAAATAGTATCAATTTTACAGCATCCTCACAATTCTTTTGGGTTGATGGGTGGGGGGATCACAGCCTGCAAGCTAAGAATTAGCAAACCAGGGTTACCACCAGCAGTTATTGTTACTAACATAAAGTTTTTCATTGGAATGGATTTTTCTGGCTTTCAAAAACCTGAGGTATGCAAGTATAGTCAGTTGTTTTGGGTGCTTCTCATATTCAAAAGTGGCTGACTTACTGGTTTGTATGAGGCTGCTGGGTTGGGGTTTTGAGATTAGTCAAGCAGTTCCTGCGGGTGAGCTACTGGTCACCTTTCATGAGGTCTTTTCGGGCCAAGTAGTTGAAGAGACAGCACACGATGGGCTTCGGAGGGCTCGTCTGCCACGGCACTTAGGGGTTTGACCAGCTCTGCCTCCTGGAGGTTTTACCTCATTGCCAGACTGTGTCACCAAAACGAGTTTAGGAGAGTTTGGCCAGGAAAGAAAATAGCTACAGAAAACCCAGAATGGCCTAGGAACCTTTACCTTCAAATTTTAGAATTGAAGAGCTCACTTCGACTAGGGTATATGTACACATACACATGAACATATGCACACATAATGTATAGATATACTTAATGTATGTCTACACACACACTTAATATATATTATATATTTGTGTATATGTATTATATATACATAAATGTATATTTGTGTGCATATACACACATATGTATATACATATATGTATACATATAGTCATATGTGTATATATAAATAACTATATATTAAGTTCTTAGCTTCTTAATAGCTTAGTCAGGAATGTTTCCAGGTATTTATTACCTATTTTTTTTCCAATCTCATAAGAGATTTTGAAAAGCAAGGTGCAGTAATTTGAGGGTATATATCAGGGAGAAAAAGCATCAACATTGAAAAGGAAATTTCCAGTGAATTTTTTTAATTTCATAGTTTTCTAAATACTTTTATTACAGCATGCATATATATCTATATAAATGGGTTAAAATAGTTATATTAACTACATTTATTAAATTTAAAATCTCCTGGTACATCACAGTGAATAGACTCTGAGAGGTGCTGGTATTTTTATGTGTTTCTATTTTGTACATATGAGTACATTGGTTCTGGTGGAAAGTACACAGCTCGTGGAATCCATCGACCTGAATTCTGTTCCTGGTCCTCTTGTCAAGGACGAGCAAGTTCACAGCCTTGGGCAAGTCACTGACCCCCATGAAGTGTTATTTTGTGAGTCTGTGGATCACTCGACCCTACTTGCTTATTGATCAGCTGACATCTTGGTTTGGGCTCCCCATAAAAGGCAGAGCATTGCATAAGGCATGTTAATACTTTAAAAAAAAAGTATCTTTTATTCTGAAAGTTTCTACCACTGTTCAGGAATAATTTGGGGCCCTGTTGGATTGGAGTGCTGTAGTAGTAGTGTGTTTTAGCAGAAATTATTTTCTCAATCAGGTAGCTGTAAGAATGTCCCTCTGATGATGTTCTTCTAAAGCATTTTTGTCCTAGGAAGCAAGCGTCTTATGGAAGAGTGGTTTGGATTTCATGTTACATGTAAATGGGCACTATAGTTACTGTACTGCCATCAAGACAGCTTTTGTTTTGAACCTTGTGGGTTTTTATTTTTTTAACCATTGGTTTGAACTGCTCATGTGAAACCATGTCAAGCCCTAAATATTAAGTGAGGTTTTCAAAGAAGTTCTGAATGTAAACTTGAAGATACCACATGGCCGACTTAAAGTCATTTAGAAGTCCTTCTGTAAACCAGGTAGTTTGAGAGAGAGGAAGAAAATTCTAAATTCTAACATACTGCTTTAGAACTAAGAACTTTGTCTTCCAAATTGCATTTGCTTGGACAGTGGCAAGGGCAGGGGTGGGGGATGTCCCAGTTTTCTTAGTATATTTTTAAATCAGTAACTTTTAAAAATCTTGATGCATTTGTACAACTCAGAGTTTATACTTCCCCTTACTTACTTGGGTGCCCCGAGTCCTTTGCCTCTATAGTAGGGAAGGCAAGAGATTTTCAGAGAACGTGTTTTTGCACATAGATAGGGGTGTGACGGTGGGTGTGTGAACATTTGACTAATAACCATCACAGCCATTGACTTCACGGTGTCAGCCCTCAGCAGTCTTTGCAGACTGTACCCCAAACTCATTACCTCTGTGGTAGCCCTCTTCCTGTCCCTCTGCACCACCTCTCAGATCTGGCACCGTCTTTCTAACAGATGGACTTTGCTCCTCAGAGTGTCTCAGTCTGGCTCGAAGATGTGGTATCTTGTGCAAGAGAGGAGACCGAGTTTTCACACGTGATGCTGCTGTTAACTGGTTAAGCGGGGGCCTCCCGAAGCCCCGAGGGCCTGTCTTATGATGAATCACATGAGAGAGCTGAGTTAGAACTGAGTTCTGGTGATTCTTCTGACTCCAGGTGGCTAACGTTGCGTCAAGTGTCCGTCTTGGACGAGGCAGAGTGGACCTTCGTGTCCCCCTGTTTGGCTTCTAAAAGTCAATGATTTGACACAACTTTAATTTACAGCTGTTTTTAAAACACTGAGCACAGTATTAAGGTTTAAAAAAAAGCATTATTATTTCTGTCACCATCATGATATTCTTTCCTCAGGCACCATGTGACACTACAGAGGTGTTGGTGCTACGAATATGGTTTCAGTCGTTTACACTTAGGGTCCACACCCAACTGTCTTTTTGAAAATTAAATATGAGCTTTTAAAATTAACTTTTTAAAAAGTGTCTACCTTCATACTCAAATATTGCCTAGTATATAAGCAAGGAGGTGGTGGTGATCTGTATTTCTTTCCTAAGCTCCTCTGCTTTCTTAAATGGGACTGCTCAAACTACCCTTTCAGAGTGGCCTTCCCTGACCTGTGTGAAATAGCCTCCACCCCAACCCTCTCTATCATCTAGCTTACTTTATTTTTTAAGCATTTTTATTTTTTAATCATCCATCTCCTTAACTAGACTGAAAGTTTCAGGAAAGCAAGGCTTATTATTTCTTTTCTGATGCACTACAAGACCTAACATGCTGAGTGAGCACTCAGTACGTACTTGAGTGACTAAGGACAGAGTGTGTATGTGTCTGGGCTTCTGTGTGCTGGCCCAGCTGTCAGTAAAAAAGCATAAAGTTCTGATGAGCATTGGTTGGGGGGTGGCTGGAGGGACTAGGCTGTTTTCTTTAATCCTTAGAAGTAGATGCTGAGTGTTGATGTATTTAAGTAAATGTGGGAAAGGAAACAATTTGTTTTTTAAAAAAGGCTTTATAGAAGTATCAATAGAGTTTATATATATATATATATATATATATATATATATATATATATGAAAATTTAAATATATATATATTTTAAAAATATATATTTTTAAAATTCTGCACTGTGCGTGTTTCCACTGCTTTTTTTCCATTTGAGTGGTTTGCTTTACAGCTTTGTTGTGAGCAGCCTGCCCGGTGTTCCAGGGAAGGCGGTGGTTTTGGTGGTTTTACCTCTTAGAATCACATCACTTTATGACCATTTAGGTTTACAGTTATTCCCAAGGTGGGAAACAGGCTTGAGTGCTGAATCTACCTCGAAACTCGGCCTTTACTGGATAGCATCATTTTCATTTTGTTTCCTTTTGGGTGGCATGCAGTTGCGAATGAACCGGCCTGTGTGGTGGAGAAGGGGGTGGGAGGTGTCACAGAAGCCAGGGAGGCATCATTCTACATCGCTTGTGCAGATCACAATGATAACGGTTTCTTGAATTTTGTGTATTTATCGGCCCCCTTTTCAGAATAACTGCTCTAAGCACCAGAGTCATATATCCCTTGGAAGCAATGGAAAGACTAAAATAAACACCTCTGTGTCTGTTTGCACAGTATTATGCTGTCTTCATAAGCTTTGAAAAATGGAAGCTGAATTTCTATTCTCCAGAGTAAGAGAATTACACATACACCCTCTAATAAGAGTGATTTGGGAATTTCCATTATGTCTGTCAGTTTGTACCTTTTAGATTTGCCACCTGTAACACCAAATTCTCTAGTGTTATCATTAAAAAAAAACTGAGATAGAGAAGGGGGTCAGGAGGGAAGGGGACACCTTACTGTTAGATAAGCAAGGAAAAATAGTCTCATTTTCTCCCCCCCCCTGACCCCCCGCTTATAAATGGGCTTGAAATTGGCCTGCATATGGTAAAGGCTCTGACTGAGCACGTTGCATATGAGTACTCTGGGCCATTCTTGTGGAGCCTGAAGTTCTCTAGGGTTTTCTCTTTCACCCATTGTTTTCTGTTCCCTAGACTTTTTCTAGTTGTTTCTCATTGACAGCCTCATTAATTCCTGGCCATTGCCCCTTTGGTGGGGCCTTGGCATGAGCTGCTGCTTCTGAGAGTTAATGTCAGAGCGACTTCCTGAGTCTGTTGGCAAAGTCTAGCACATCCCAGGCACACCCTTTCCCCTTGGGGTCCTCAGGGGTCCTCATCCCTAAAGGCTCAGCCTCCTCCTTGCAGTGTCTCGGGGTGGGCAGAGGAAACATACTGAATACCCGAGAGTAGTGGAAGGAAAGATGCCCGGGCGTTTTCTGCACTACTGGTGCTCTGTGGGGAAAGAAAGCAGCAACAGCCTCCTCAGACTGCTTTCTAACTGAATAGTGCTGAGGTAGGTTTTGTATTCTACTTAAGTTTAGAATTCACTAAAAAACATACTGTTTATTAAAAGAGAGTGTGTGTTAAGGAAGCCTGCT